TGTGTAATAATTTTACAGCCAGTTTCTATCTAGGTTTAATTTGCATGTGTAGCCTGTGCTCTGGTGACTTGGAGACCTGTCCAGAGATTGGGGTTCCCAGCTGATGGGGGTCCATGTGCATCCCAAAGCTTGGGAGCTTCCAGCTGATGCTGGCTTCCAGCCACAGGAGCATATGCCCCCACAGCTGGGACCCCATCAGCTGACAGGCCCCCCAGCCATGGGAGCACCCCACACACCAATATGACTGGGAGATGCAGCTGCTGTGATCTCCCAGCTACAGTGAGCTGACAGGGTTCCCAGCTGCAGGGGCACAGCTGCATGGTGTGCCCCCATGGCTAAGGGATTGCAGCAGTTGCAATCCCCCAGCTGTGGGGGGTGCCTGAGGCACATCTGCAGCTGGGGTCCGTGTCAACTGAGGGGGCTCCCAATGGTAGGAAATTGCTTTTTGTTGGAAAAGGGGGAGCCTGGGATCAGGCTTCCCCTTCACTGGTAATAAGGCATGATAGGATCTGAGATGCAAGCCTACAATCATGCCCCTTGCTTTGCATGTGTGGCATGGCAGGAGGCACAATTGTGTGGATTGCGCATTAGATCCCATTGTGTCTTTACTTGCACATATAGAGGGTCCCTTAGTGCTGTGATTTATATTCTGGTACATTTATCAATATGACTGGACATGACTCTTCCTGCCCCTACATTTTTACAAGAAATAATTAAAAAGATATAATCCCTCTATGATACCAAAGAATCAGAAAAACACAACAGCAACACTAATAAGAAAAGAGCTCTTTTTCACAAGTGTTTGTTGCAAAACTCTTAATGAGCCTTTTTCTTAGTAGCTGTGAGTGGCCATAGCATCCTCATTATCAAAGGAATTTTGCCAATTTATAGCTTCTGTGAATCTGAACCAATAACTTTTATAGGAGCAGGACTGGGATAGATGGGATAGATAATATCTGTGTCTTGGCTTTTTATTTTACGAAAATACCTAGGGCAGAGATGTAACTAACAATTTTTTGGGCCAGACCAAAGACCCTGGAGAGGGGCAGAGCGTACTGAGCACAGGAGTCTTACTGGACTTATGCTGCTACTGCCACATCTTGGTCTCCTGGCACCATACTATGACACAGGCCTTCTGGTAGCTACTACTTTGGTGCCCCCTCTAAATTGGTGCCTAGGGCTGGTGTGCTGCCTGCCCCACCTTTGCTATGCTATCAACCTGCCATAAGTTGCATTTACCATGCCTTGCTTATACTGTGAAGAAGACATTTAAGTGCAACTGAGATCCTGGACTTGAGAGGAGAGCTAGTAATTTGTGATTTAAACAACTTGAAACTATTGATTGTGGAAGTCTGTTGATCCATTTTTTTTATTGTAAAAATCTAAGTCAATCAATCATCATCACCATTCTTTCATGATAATTAGTACATGAAGGCTACTTTGGCTGTACCCTGCCAGTTCTAATACTGCTTTTACACAGGAAATGGTGATGGAGTACTGACTCTGATTTGTAATTTCTGCAGCTGTGGTGAAAAACCCACCCAACAACTTGTGGATCATTGCGGCTGTGTTGGCTCCTATTGCTGTGGTTACAGTTATCATTATCATCATCACAGCAGTTCTGTGTAGGAAGAACAAGAATGACTTCAAGCCAGACACCATGATGAATCTGCCTCAAAGAGCTAAAGTACGTGTCTATGCAATGAGAAATGTCTTGATTTTGAGCACCCATTTCTTTTCTGAAGGTTTCATGTTTCAGTCCTTTGCTAAATGCATCTGAAGAATATTTGTGAGTTTACAAGGGGGGTAGACTTGGAATAGGACTTCCTGTGCTATTGCAGAACTTTTGTTTCCTTTGGAGCAATATGACAGACCCATGCTCTGCCAGTTTTCCTTAGCTCCCCACCCCTTGAGACACCTCCTGTCACAGTAATCATGCTTCCATCCAAGAAGACGACAGAATTCTTCTTAGACCTTCTCGGAGTTCTCTAACCATCAAGAGTGTGCCATCAATTTGTTCATTGATGCAAGTTGTTCCCTCCCATAGGGCTGAGCAGGCTTCCTACGTGGCATTTGCTGCTTCTGTAAATTGGGGAAGTAGAGAGAGAAATGGAAAATCAAACTTGGATTATTTTTTCCAAAGATACTTTTTTCTTAAGGGCAACATCCTTAATTCTATGCACAGAACTTCTACAAAACAAGCCCTATTATCACTAATAGGACTTGAATAGCTAAAGTTCTGTGTTTGACAATAGTTGAGACTCTAGCCCTAAATTAGAGCTGTTCCAGCCAATTAGTGATTCAGAAAAGGTGACATTTCCCCCCCACCATTCTTTTCTTTTGCATTTTTGTACTTTTAATTGACTTGTAAATATAGCTTATAGTGTTGAGACAATTTGCTTCTCTTTTACTTAAGAAGCCATATAAATTAAAGGGACTTTGTCATGGCAGATAAATTCCCAATTTAAATCTCTCTCTGCAAGTATATATTCTGCTTTAAAATCTCCATAATGGGAAGGCAACTAAATCACCAAGTGGGCTACATCATTATTCAAATTTCAGCTCTTAGGGTGGGCAAACCACTGTCCTCCCCCAAGGCACTGACAAACCACCAAAACCAAAGTCTGGACTGATAAGGTTTTGTGGGGGATAATGAGTATGTATGTATACCATTCTACCCCTTCACTCTCCTTCCTGGCTTCACTGGTCTGGGTTAGCAAGGAACTGAAATGATAAAATCACTGCTTTCTTTCTGAGTAATATAGACAGTGTGATTTCAGTGAATTGCATCTGCAGGGACTGCTCTGAAAAACATAGATGGAAAGGAAAGTAGAGAAAAAGCATAATGTGCGTGTGTGCCTTCCTTCTTCATCTGGGAACATCCTGTGTTTATTTTTGGTGTGTGGCATAGTTTAGGAGTGGAAATTTTATGCAAGGCTGGTCAAAACAATGACATCAGTATTACACTCCTATATCTTTGTCTATCCTGCACAACCAAACCATAAATGGGACATAACACCAAAAATGAAAAGTTACAGATAAAGGGGAAAACGAATCCCAGTGCAGTAAGTTGATATAAGATTTAAGGGCTTTATAATGCAAGGATAGCTCTTGGTTGCCAGTGAGCGTATCCTGTTCCCTCCCCTGAAGATAATCTGGTTTCCCCACAGAGGTGGTGGGGGTAAGGAGGGCAAGGCTTGTTGCCCTCAAAGGTTGCTGGAGGTTGCTTCTCTGCTGCAGCTGCTTCTAGCTGATGTCCATGTGGCATCAGCTGGAAACAAGTATCTCTGCTTTGGAGGTGGGTGAAGCACCAAAAGGCTGGGATGTCTGTACACCCCCGTAGCATTGTATTTTTGTTATGCTACAAAGTGCTGCAAGTGAACGGCTGTTCATAACCCAAGAAGACCAATTTCTTTTTGTCCTGACTTACCAGAGCTATTATTGTTGCTGAACCATTAAGTGTAAAGATGGGCACTACAGATGGTTGTGTGTGACGCATCTAAACCATATTTAAATTGAATATTTAAATTGATTAGCTACCAATGTGCCTGAAATCACTTGATACCTTCAGATGTTCTTGGACAGAAAGCTGCTCTGAAAATTAAATTGCATGAGATGGATATTTTCAGTTTAAAATACAGCTTTAAAATTTCTTTTCCTGTATAGCCGATCTTTCAATTTGGCTTATCAGGGTTTTGGTACCCTTTGGCTGTTCTCTGAATTGTTGGAAACAAAGGAAATTCAAATTGTGTGGAAAGCCCTCTTTGTCTTTGGTATCAGCTGTTTTTGTTTTTTAGTGGTGCCATTTTATGTGCTGTGATTTCAAAAGTCTTGTATCAAGGGAAACCAGCAGCCTGAACCTGCCTATTCATTGCTGCAGTCCTATTGCTGCTGTGAACAGAGGGGTACTGCAGTTCTTCACGTAGAAGAGCTGCCTACTACATCATTTCTCAGAATTCTTCTTGTGTGAATGGAATTAAATTAATGAACAAAGCATAAAGGGGTAATGAAATCTTTAGCATTAAATAGCATTCTATAGATTGCAATATGATATGGAAACAGGGTTGTTGCTTGTGCATGGGAATAGAGGAAACAACCCTTTTGTGGTAACATACTGATGGCTGAATAAATAAAGTTAGAAAACATTAGCTGCTTATAAATAGTGTAGTTTATAGTATCTGTCTTGAGAGTAGTGTTAAATTCTTTTGCCATTCACAATTGATTTAACAGCCAGCAGCATCTGTGCTGGGCATCAGAGAAAAGGTATTGTTACCATTTGTTTCATCTGACTTACCAGATCAAAAATAAAAAAGTACGGACTGATGTATGTGAGATTTTTCTGTATCAGCAAGTAAATGAACTGAAGGAAAAGTGTTTTAATAATCTTTAAATGCTGTATTTGTTCTGGGCTTTTTGGCAGATGTTAAGTTTGTTTTCATTCATTCATTCAATCATTCATTCAATCATTTGTTTTTGCTTCTCTTGCTTTCTAATTTATATCATTCTTTTAAAAGCTGATAATCTTATATTCTAATCTGTCACTTTTTCTTTCTTCTAAAACAACAAGAAAGAATAAGCTAGCAGGTAAATATAGATAAAAGCCACAGTCTGAGTCCTTAAAGCAAATGCTGCAGGCCATGAGATAAAAAAATACCATTCATTTATGAGACAACATATAAAGAAAAATAACAAACCAGAACAGGAATATGTATGGTGATTGTGTTTTAATATTTTCAGCTTTTACATCACCATGCCAAGTCCCAGTTACAGTGCATACTCTTCTTTTTACCCTCATCCAGCCAATATAAGAAATGGTCTGAGTAATGATATTAAAATATTATTTCAAAACCATCCACCAAATCCCACTTATTGCAGAAATGTGGGGTTACAGATATGTTTTCCTCCAGTGCTGAGTAAATCATCATCATGAATTATTGTTGTGGTGTTGCCAGTTCCCTTCAGGGTGGTAAGGCCGTCTGGTTATGGTGCCTTTCACATGTCAGAGTTCCTGGATTAAATGCTCTTTAGTACAGTATATCAACTAACAAGAATAATTTTTCTAGCTCTTCCTTTTACACAGTTTTATTTGATGTTGGGATAAGTAGCACCTCAAAAAATAATCACTGGAATCTGAGAGATCAGGGTTACACATTTCTACACTTCTGTTAAGATATTTGTGCTCTTTGATTCTTACTTTTTCCATAAGATAGAAGTGTATTTGTAGTGTATCTATACAATTTCAGTGCGTCAGATGAGAAAAGTGCTGTTATATATCAGTCTTGTAACAATTTTCTGTCTTATTGCCCCATTCATTGAATAACTAGGATTGTGTAGGCTAGCAATTAACCTATGTAAGTGAAGACTTTGAACCCTTAATTTTAATCAGAATTTCAGAGTCTGTGGTGGCTTATGGTATTATGGCATTCTCTAGCAGTCCTTTGCATGGCTTGCCTTGTCTTTCTTTTCCTCTCTTCATAAAGCTAATTTAATGACTGCTTCTGTGGTACTTTTCCTTCACTATGGAGGGGAAACATTCAGCTCCCTTCAGGGGACAGACATCACTGTGGTTTGCCAGCAGGGCTTTTTCATGGCAAACTGGCATTTCTCTAATATGTTGTAATATGTTGGAAGGCTCACTGCTGTAATTTGCTAAGACTTTGTTGACCCAATTTAATGCTAGTCCATTTACTACCTCTTTAATATATTTCCACTGAAGTTGCTTCTCAAATGGATGCCAACTTTCTTTGTCAGGTTAAAGGAAATTTCAGAGTAGTGTTAAGTAGGAGGCTTAAAATGTAAGACAAGTCCCCTTACGCAGAAATAGGGATTTTTAAGGACATTACATAATTTTTCAGACTGAGATACCTATAAAGCTATCAGCCTCTCTTGTATCTGTTTTATAGCCACAAGGGACAGAAATGGAGCAAATGTGTATAAAAAACAGAAGGTACTGTGAATATCTCGCTGTTTTGACCCATCTGTGAAGTTTAAAACTGGATGGATTTTTTCCAGTACACCTAAAATATTTGTTAACATCTTAAGAGCCTGGAGGAACCTTTTTCAAGTGCTATTTTTATACTTTTGATATGTTATTAGAATGTTATATGGCATGTGTTGGAAAAGTGAAAACACCAGCATTTTACTTTATAGCATTTTGTCATTAGCCACATCAGAATCTCATTATTGTTATGTATGAAAGACTCTTTTTTCATAGAGCCAGCTAGGATTTTTGTGATTAACCAATAGCAAATGCGGTTTCTCCCCAAAATTAAAATTTTCCAGATTAAAATTTTGATTTTGCCAAAAAATTAGCCATCAATCAAGAAAATTGAAATGGCAGCTGCCTTCCTAGATGGAACTTGTCATTTTCACTTTCTCTCTACAGAGGCTTCCAGGGATGCAGCCAGGGGGCTGAAGGTGGGCAGTGGAGAAGGATGGGAAGATGAAAAGGACTTCTATTTTCCTTTTGTGGGAGGGATTTTCATTTTCTGGCCAACTTCCCTCCCTCTCCTCTCCTTCCCCCCCACCCCCTGAATTTTTACCCTTCTCTTTTCCTTTCTTTTTCCTTTTCCTATGCAAATCTGAGTTATCATGGGTTTTTTAACTAAAAACATGGACAATTTTGTATCCATTAATCAATGTTTAGCAACATGTTGAACATAAGCTTGATGACCATACTGTATCACTGCCAGCCAACTGTATTACAATGATGGCTACAACTTTTGACTATGATGCACATAATTAGAGAAATTGATAGGTAATAACAAAAGATCTTATACTAATATATGATGCTTGTTGGAATACCATTTTTCTTCTTCTCTGCAGCCTGTGCAAGGCTTTGACTATGCCAAGCAACATTTAGGTCAGCAGGGAGCTGAAGATGAGGTTTTGCCTGTAACTCAGGAGACTGTAGTGCTACCACTTCCAGTTAGAGATGCACCTGCCTCTCAGGAAAGAGAAATTACTCAAGATGGAAGCACCATTAAAACTGCCAAGTCCAATGAAACAAGGAAAAGGTACGCAGTGGCCAATTTCAGCTGAGGGATGGAGTGGGCTGGATGCTGCTGGCAGCAAATAAAACCACAATGAGTTTGGCACCCATGCAATGCCTATAGCATTTTGTTTCTTTACAAAAGTGCTTGGCCTTTAGTAATGTTATTCAGCATGTAGGATTGCTAAAGAGAGTAGGATAATAACTGGAGATTTAGCAGACTTTGTAGCTCAGAAGAGATGAATGGGAAGCTGCCAACATGAGTGCTAGTGCTATGCTACAGACCTGAACTTTAATGGGATTCAAAATCTTGGCCTATATCTGAAGTTTACAAATGAACTATGGGGAAGATTCTCAGTGGGTGTGAACTGTCATAACTCCATTGATTGTGACCCATTGATTGTGACTACCAGCTGAGGATCTACCTCTTATAGCCTTATTAAGGACTGAATAAAGGACCAAAACTAAAGCTCTCCCTAAATTATGTTGTTGATAGCATATCTCAGGATCCAGAGTACATATAACAACAGTGTTATGAGCATGTATAAGAAGCACTCAAAAGTGCCAAAGTGCCTATAGTAAGAATTAATTGTTTCTAAAATTATTCAGTGTAATGGAACAGGATTATTTGAATCCATTTTATAGTTGAGAAATGTAAGCCTTTTTTCTTGTTCTTAAAAGTTTGATAATAAAGGAAGTAAAGCAAAAGTAAATCTGGTATTTTAGCAGTGAGAATACAGTTAATGTCAGTTTCACTGCAGTTATAATAGCCATATCTTTGGCAATCTGATTAACTAAAGAAAGGTTATTTTGGTTTGGGCGGGGAAATTTTCTAGGAAACTAAATCTTTTGAGTTAATTCATCTTATACACTTACCAGTGCACACCACTCTTCAGAGAAATGGAAATTCTAGAAAACTTCATTATTAAACTGAATTTTCTGAGTATTTACTGACACGTTGATTTTGGTAATTCTGTGTGTTACTTATGTCAGATAATTCATTATATAAGAGGCTATTGAGAGATGGTATAAATTGGTAAACAGAAGAAACTTGTTAAGAAATCCTGTTTTAGCTCCTAAGATCAGTTTGTTTCTCTAAAATCTTGCTCCCACCTTTTAGTGTGAGTCCTGTGTGCTGTATGCTATAAATCAATGTATCGCAAATCATAAGAATCAGATTATCTAGTTCATATGAACTGAATAATACTTGTCCTTTTCAATGTCTTCTGTTGAGCGATAAAGTGCCAAATGGGAGATTATCATTGTAACAGCTGAAGGTGCTTGCCCTCCTGGACGATAAGCATTTCCAGGAACTATTCTTTAAAGAATTTTTCAGGACTCTTTGATTACTGACTCATGTCAGACAGATACACAGACAGAATATAATTCTCTCCACTGACTCTACAAAAAGTGATCCAAACACTTCAGCATTTTGGATGTGCAAAATCTTGTAATTAATCCTTGCATTCCTAGACAAATATTGATTGGCAGACTAGACACCTATTCAGGGAATCACTGGAAAGCAGTTGCTATGTAGACTGAGTATTGCAAATATATTGCAGTACTCAATGAGAGTTGCATCTTCCCTGCTACAGGTAGTTTCACTAACATCAGGATTACTTGTATTAGTAAAGTGAGTGGGATTAGGCTCTTTGCAATATTATCTAATAGGTGATGGGAGAAGGTTTGCAACAGACTTTTCATGAAGTAATTCATATTATATACTTTGTTTATCATTTTTAAAATCCATAATAAATAGATATGCATGATGCTTTTAAAAGAGGAGCACTTAGAAGCTCTGTGGAAGCCACAGCCATTTTATAGGGATACAGCTGCTGTTTGTTCCACTAGAAGCTGTCCCTATCAGGAGCCAAGCAGTCATTAGCCGAGTGTGAAATGAATCACTAACCATCATGGCAAGGATTCTATAGGGGTTAATATTGCATCCAGCAGCATTAATTCACAATGCAATTTCCACAAGGAAAGCCACTGGGTAAGTTGAGCAGGGGCTGGTCACCTGCTTCATTCTTTTCTTCCCAGATAGCTCTGCTTCTAAAACATTATGACAGCTTTTGTGTGAATTAACTGTAAAAGGGCTTCTGTTGAACTCCAAAAGCAATAAGGCACTGAGGTAGCACTGTTTGCCCCACACCTGATACTTTTTTCACTTTGGTAGCATTAAGTATCCTCTTCTCCTGCCTCAGCTGGGGCAGTCTGACTCCCCCCAAGACGCGTTATACATAGACAATGAGACTTCAGAAGGTTGCCCTGTGCCTCAGGACATGTCTGTCTCAATGCTGCCTATGGATTTAAAGCTACTTTTTGTGACAGTGATAGAATTTAATTAAATTTCTCACTGTGCAGCCATACTTTGGAAAGTATTTGTCAGTAAAATCTTGTCAGATATGTTTTAGCCAAACAGCAGGTCAGACAAATACTTGACTGGAATGATTTAAGCAGGGATGACCCTGCCTTGAGCAGGGGGTTGGACTGGATGACCTCCCGAGGTCCCTGCCAGGCCTGTTTTTCTGTGAGTCTACCCTTTGAGTTTCCTTTCAATGACCAGTGCTGCAGCACTCTGGCTAATAGTAGACTGCCGTATGGGTTAGACTGGTGGTGCGATAAGCTTATTTTGTTCCTCTTGTTTCCAACTGTGAAACTGGCTACTCTGTGGTAACTCCCCTTTGCTGTATTAACATTTAGTTAAACATTTTTTTTTACTGTGGCCTATTCACTAGCTGTTAAATTGAGCTAGTGATGCAGGGTACTTAGCCTACCCAAAAAGAAATTAGGAACCTGTCCTGAATATTTTTGCCCAGAGGAACACAAGAGTTCCTACCCATGCTCTCTGTAGGAAGACGGTCACTTTCTCAACATATCTGACCACCATCCCACTTCCATACTTGTGGCCATAGTAATTGGAGGACACTGAGCAAAACATACAAAGACAAGGAGGACGACCATTCACAGCAAGGGAGTCTCAGCAAAAACTGGCACTGGCTAAACATTATAGTGTATAGAGGGAGAAAAGAGAGTGGAAGCGAGCGGGTGAGTGTAAGTTCTGGCTGACAAAATAATCAAAAGCAGATACAGACTAAATGGGGGGAAAGGCTTGGAGTGTATTTGCTTAGCTATACACTTGAAAAACTGGCATAAAAGCAAAGGTCATCTTTTATTTGACCTGCTTAACAGATGTTAAATGAATAATAGTGGTTTTTTGCCCTTTGCAGCATTTCCCTTGTGTCAGCGTGGGTTTGTGCAAGAGAAATAATCAGTCCCGGTTTCACTGAAATCTTCTTCAAGGCTGAGCCTACATAAAAAAAATTAAAACATTAAATATTGTAGTTGCATCCCTGCTTTCATTGTGTTGCTGTTGTGCAGCTTATTTCCTGTCTCCTTTCTGTACAAAATCCGACTTGAAAAGCCAGTGATGCAAACTGTGCAGATGAAATAACCTTGAAATGAGGTTTATACAGAAGAAACTTACAGTCTTCCTTGTTGCTATGGTTACTTACAGCAGGTCGCCTAGTCAGAACGGTTCTGTCATCACCAACGAATCAGGAAAGCCCAGCTCAGGCAGAAGCTCTCCACAGAAAGTAATGGCACAGCAGAAAGTGACAAAAGATGAGGGAAGAAAAAGAAATGGTGAGAAGTGTTTCCTAATGAAAGGTCTACTGTATGCCTGCAGCTACTCCCACAGAGATACCCATGTTGAAACCCTCCTCCTCCTTTATGTCCTACATTTACTAATCTTTTATGCATTTATTCTTCAATGCTCCTTCTTTTCCCCCCTTTTCTGCCTTCTGTGCTATAATAAGCTGTACTTTCATGAAACTCCACAAGGAACAGTATGCTATTTACTCCATGTTATCAGCCTTTGCAACTGTTCACAGATTTTAGCAGCCACATAATGCCATGAGACACATGGCTTCGTAACAGGTGAAACTAGGCGTGCAGTTTTCCTGTATAGGACCCTAGGACATACGTTTTCATTGCTGGTGCCTCTCATCTGGCCTAGATCTGATGAGATGGATTTACCAGGTAAAAACTGTGTTGAAAAGATGTGACAGTGGCAATGCTTCAGATCTCTATTACCCTTCACCCTTTTGTTTTCTCTTTGCTAACACCCTTAATGACAGCTCTTGCTGTTGCACTAAGGGGTGTGATGCTGAACTCAACTTTGTTTCCAGACCCTTTGTTGATGATATCAGCCTTAGGATTTAAGATGTACAAGATGCATCTAAGGAATATTGGACTCTCTCTTGTTTTTCTTTGCTTGTTACTTTGCTAATTTCTCTTGAGGTTTAGCCCTGGTTTTGTGGACATATTTCATGTGAAGCCAGACTCTAAATGAGACGTAACGTGACCTCCTCGGATTTTGTAGGCAGCGCACAAATATAAATCTTTCTTTAATAAGACGTTGCAGGATTGGAAAGGGAGGTTGAGGGACACAGAAAATCTCAATACAAGACTTTTTCCATCCCTACTTCAGTAAATCATCTCTGTAGCCTCTGTGGAACTTCCTGATTGTCTATATGGCAATTCCCATGGTGATCATCATAATCTGATAAAGTATTGTGATGTGGCTTACAAAGTTCATGTGTTTTAGCAAGAACATAATATAATAAATAGACCCAAATGCATAGTAGAATAGGTGACGTCATCCTGTACAGCAAAAATTACATTATATTTTTAAATTTTGTCTGCAGTTCCCCTGCATTTACTACCTGCTTGTGCATTCTGTGCGAAATATGGGATAGATATAATTGAGTTGTTCTCCTTTAAAATGGGTTTCCTGTGTATTATACATTTATGGCAAGAACACTTTCTTTTCTGTGTGTTGCACATTTGTGTTGCCTGTATTTGTCTATTGAAAAAATATGATTTCTTACTAGAAAGAGACCCAGTCCTGCAGTGATAGCTATTGTGCTGCACTGCTGTGGCTATAGGTTGCTCCACTAAAACCAATAAGGACCTTAGCTTTTAGGATCAAGGCCTAAATTTTCACAGGTCACATTAAATAAGTTATGCTAATTACACATAACAGCCTGTTTTTAAGGTTATTACTATGTTCATACTCATTCAAATATTGCTTGCTTTGTAAGACAAAAACATTTGGGATTTTGAGAGTTCAATACTGTACTTTCAGAGTGTGATTATTTCCTCCTTCTTCTCAGAAAACATTAAACCAGATAATACACTTTCATTTAATGTTAATTTAATTTACCTAGTCAAAATGTTTTAGTGCGGGTGTTATTATCACTTTGTTTTTGTTTCTTTTTCTTTAACTTATAGGTTTTAAATCCTCAAAGAAAATTGGTAAGAACTTTTGGTTCCTTAATAAACATTTGACTAACCCTTAATGTGATTTCTTCTGATCAGAGCTTTCCTATATCTCCAGCACATGCGTAGTGGCTGTTTATTGGCCTTTTATTTAAAACCTCCCTTTTAGTGTAATTTTAACTTCATCCTTATTTGCAAGCAGTGACTGTATGCTTCCCTAACTATGCTGGGAAACTAATAGCTGCAGTATTCTCTTGTGTATTTGACATCCTCTTTTTCCTGTCCTCTGCACAAAGACCAAGATGTTATATTGATGTTAGGGGAATTTGAACAGAGCCAAAGGAAAGGAAACCTCCCCATTAATGTGTAAAGCAGCAAAGGTGCTAATTTGTGCTCACTGTAATAGTGGGCACAAATGAGCACCTTTGCTGCTGCATTGTGCACTACATTGTGCAGCTAGAGAGAGATTGCGGTAGCTATCCTTGTTTGCTCATCCCTACTCCACCATTAGGAGGCTGTTGGCAACAGTGGATCTGTTGCCCTGTAGCTGCCCTGACAACTCTCTTGGCAAAGGGAAACCCCATGGTATTCAGCCCTTTCTCCCTCTCTGATGGGTTTCTGAAATTCTGTCCTATTACGTTCTGGTATCAAACTACTTCCATTGTGTTTCTTAGCTTAGGATGTCTGTAGCAAGAGAGAAAGGGCAGGTTGTGCATAAGTAAAACGCTTAGCTAATGGGGAGTCACAGATCCGGCATGGAGATACTGGGCCTCTCCCTTACTGAGAAGTCTGTGTAGAGTATCTTACTAAAATGTCTTCCCACTTAGGCTCCTGAGAGGGAGGGTTCCTACCCAAAAATGTTTTGGTTATATTATGCTAAATGTGTTTTATCATTGCCATTAAAAAATCAGTTCATCATTGAATTCCTTGGGTAAGGTTTATATCCTAATTCCCAATTCTGTGATTTCAGATAGTGCTGTCATCTGTAGTAGTTTCTATTGTGGGGCTTTATCTTTATCCAGGGTAATTAGCATAACTAGAATGTGTTACCATTTGTTCTTCCAGTTTAACAAAGGGGCTATTTTTCTTTTAGCTGTTTGTCTGAAACTGCTCCAGCTATCTAGCATGATTGTAGCTTGACACCTCTAATATGCATGTTAGGAAAAAGAACAGCATATTTTTTTCCTCTGAAAATCAGCATCTGAAAATTGGAATGAATCCCTGGCTAAGTCACATGATTGATTTGGGGACTCCAAGTTAGATTGGCTCATTAGTTGCCATAGTTACAAACCAATTTTTGATTCTATTCCTCACTGACATTTAGTTATACAGGAAAATGACAGTCTTGGGTGTTAACTCAATAGATAAACTACACGGTTTCTATCAAAACCCACTCCAAAGTCATGCCTACAGCTTTTCAGCAGTGAGGGCAAATGAACAGCAAACATGAAACCAGGGTAGCCAGATAGTCATGAATGAAGAAACTGATATTATGGAGGCCTTGCTGAGGCCTCTTTAGCTGAGGCTGTTTTGAGATTTTTTACAGAAGATAAAGTTAAATGATTAAACTCAACTCTTCATCAGCCAATTGAACTTCTTAATCATTCCTTTAGTAAAAGATCTATTCATTTTTGCCAAATAAAGTGTTCCCTCTTCATCAGGTTTTGAACTGTTTTTTCTTTTTCATAGGGTGTCTCTACACATGCATTTACACCGGCTTAAATTTATTGTGCAGGAAGTTACTGCATAGTAAGCGGGAATAGGCCGGCATGTACAAACAAACAGCCTGAGGCAAAATGTAGTCCCAAATCAGAGCAGCCTGCCATGTTCCTGTGTGGCCACTGGGGGAGCTCCAGCCTCTGGCCCAGGGGCAGGCAATTATTTTGGGCAGAGGGCTGCTTAACGAGTTTGGGCAAGCTGTTGGGGGTTGCATAGGTAGCCCCGTACCTTGACAACTGTCCCGCCCCCTTATCACCATATTAGGACTAGAAGTCCCACCCCCTAACCCCTGACCTTTGCCACCAGAAGTCCCTCTCCTTGCCCCCCAGAAATACCCTTTTTCAGAGGGTGGTTCCTATCTTAGAACCAGCAGAAAACAAATCATACATTAGAAGTCAAACACCTACTATAACATATTTTAATTTGATTACAAAAAAGATTTGTCATGATTTGCGTTTGTGTACTGTAAATAGAAGGGATTGCATAATAACTAAAAAATAGTCTCGCTCATTGTGTTGGGGGCTGTGGGATGTGTGTACGGTGGGGTGTGTGGGGGGGCATAGGGTATGTTGGGGTGTGTATATGTCAGTGGGGGCTGTGGGGGCAGGGTGTGTGTATGTGAGATTTGTGGGGTGTGGGGCCCCCCCCCCACTCTTCCATATGGCACACAGCCCCTGCTGCCAGCAAGCGTAGCAGGCAGGGGGGCTTAGGGAGTTCGTGCCTAGCACAGGCACTGGTATCCAGTGGGGTGCGGCTCTGGGCAGTGCTGCACAGGCATGAGGAACAGAGCCTGCCTGGCCTCTATCACAGGGGCTTCATGCCAAGTGCCTGCAACTCCCGCATTACCACAGGGGAGGCCTCGTTGGACTCCATAGGGGAGCAGTGGACAGGGCTCTCTCCACTCTGGGTAGAGTCGGGGGACCTGCACAGCATGGGGCAGGGCAGGCAGTGGGCTCCCCCACGGGGCTTTCCCTGCTGCGAGTCCAGGAGCTGCAGGCATGCTGCAGTAGAGGTGGCAGCAGGAACAAGCTGGGAGCCACGGGGCTGAGTTGGCTCCTGCTGTGTTTTGTGATTCCGATGTTGCAGCCGGGAACCAAGTGGCATGGCACCGCATGGCCAGGCACGTCCCAGCAGAACGCTGTTCCTGCCTGCAATGCTGGGATCAAAGAATGCAGCAGGAGCCAGCCTGGCCCCGTGGGTCCCAGCTTGCTCCTGCCCTGCCACTGGCCCTGACCCCTGGGGCCCTGTGCTGGCCCCTGCTGACACTTTTCCCCTCTGTACCAGCTCCTGCTGCC